TAAGTTTAATTTATTTCAGAATATCTTCACTTTTCTACGTTCTATTTTGCAGGGATCTCAAGTCATAATGATGACTAAACAGTCTCTCCTGGCCATTTTGATCTACGCCAGATGTCTCTCAACAACTAGTACCTTTGACATCTTTGATGAGAAGATGAACCTGATAAGCCTCATTCGGGCATCGGCCTCCTTGGACCCTAATACGGAAACAGTTGGCTACGGAAATGGAACAGTATACGTCCGGTTCCCAGGAAATCCAATCCAGAGGATCTTCTATTTCGAAGGGTTCAACATCGCTAGAAAGGTTAAAACGGAGAAAGGATTCAATTCAATGTCCAGAGAGGTGTTTGTGTACCGCGACCTGGAAACTGCTGAGATATTAAGCGTTTGGATGAATCCATTCACAAAGACAGCCAATGAGGTGTTCAACGTCGCTAACGACCCCAATGATACGCCACAGAACTATGGCGGCGACAGAAAAACCATCCTCATCCCACCCGAGCGAGTCAGCTTCAACGAGGACGTCTTCCTCCAGTTCCCAAATGTCCTTGACCCGAAAGATTATCCCAAATTTTCATCCGGACCAGTCTACCAGGGGGATGAGCTGTTCGAGTTCTACACGAATCTTACAGAGTTGGCCACATCAAACGCATCCTCTATCCAAATGATGGGTTCCTGGTTCAGAAGAGGAGAGTTCCTGCCTTGGATGGAGATGGGCGACACTCCAGGATGGTTGTATTACCACCAGGCCTTCTGGAAACTGGTCAACGGGTTTGACGACGTGGCTCCTGACCTCGTGAAGTACGTGAAAGAATATTATCCTCAGTACCTGCATGCGCCTACTACATTCAGGAACAAAGTGGTGACGAGTTGGGATGTGTTCAAGAAGGCGATTGACGCTCGTCGGGCTAAGGGTGACCCCGATATCATCATCCCTCAGTTGGACATAGAGTCAAATCTTAAATCAAAACGAAACTCACTTGACCCCAAGATTGTGGACGCTGCTCTGAAACGAGGACATTGCAGAGTATATTTCAATGGCAGCGTGTACTCTGAGATTACAGGAAACGGATCTGTAAATTTGTTTAACTTTGATGGACATGTTCTGATAAAGTTTTTAGGCCTTGGTGTTGATTCTTACATGGTTGAAGTTGAGATCAATGGCCTATATCATGATCCAATCACGGGAAAAGTTCTGGACTACTTCGATAATCCGATCGTTGGCAAAACTCAAAAAGTTAAAAACTTCTTTTACAATGCAATGGTAGAGGTACCCATATCTTCAGCTTTCTCATACCCGCTCAAAGGGATGGATCTGCAGACGGTGTTGTATCACGACTCGTGCAGTGTTGTACACCCGGACACCCTGACAGAGGACTGGGCTATCAACATGGTCAGTCTGTTTATTGAAGATGCCCAGCTGGACCAGGACTCCCCCTATTTCTATGGGACATGGGTTCGCTTCACCAGCTGGTTGTCCTGGTTTGACATGGACAGCATCCCAGGGAATATGGTGTGGAGATTGAACTTCTACAAGACCGAGGATGAGCCAACTCGCGTTTAATTGTTGTGTTGGTACATCAGGACAGTGTTTGTTGTACTTCGTCCAGACAGAATATGACCCCGATCCGTGTAGGTTAGTTGTGTTGGTGCAGCAGGACAAGATCTGGATGATGTATTTCTTCAAGAAAATATATGACCCCAGCCGTGTAGGACAGGCTAGTGTGATATTATGGAGGGTTTACTTCTCCAATAGATGATCGCTCAAGACGTATAGGATAGCTTCTAGGTAAGTCATGACAAGGTATGACGGATGTACCTCTATCAGAAGTGATCACAGTAGTTTAGAATAGTTTCGATATATATTTATGTCAGAACAAGGTATGAAGGGTGTACTTCTACCAGATAGAAGATGACCTAGATAGTGTAGGATAGTTCCTCTGTCTACCTTATTCCTTGAAGTACGTGAAGGTGTACTTCAAGTTGTAGGTGTACTTCTTAAAGAGAGAATTTGTCTCTACTATGTAGGATAGATAGTCAATAATGTTGATTGAGTATATATCAGTATTCCTGCTATGTGACTGTTATGTGTAAATACTCTGCAGCAGGCAATCCAGTGATTGATATATGAGCATCGATCTACACAATTGGGATACGATGACACACCTCACCCAAGTCAGTGAGCCTGACCACCCGATCCCTTTGAGTCTCCTCTTACAAGCTACGGTCATTTCTACTGAAGATCTATTCTAACCCGGATCTTCACGGGTCAGACGTGTGGTAGACTGTCACTTTCTTTGAGGAGATTGAAGAAGATCCTTGACGTGTCTGATAGGTATGATCTTCTTTGTGAAACGTAAAAGCAGTTTGAGCAGTTTTGAAGACCTTTCTCCACTGTCCTTTGTGTGTAACTGGCGACAATTGCCTATGTCTACATTGTGTTGTTAACGGTAGTGTTGTAATGCTCTCGAACTAGTTTTATAAGACATGTGATAATCTAGTTATTCTACTATTCCTCGATGACGTGATTTTACAATTTTCAACATATTTACATGTTTATATATTTTTGTCTCGTCACGACAGTAGCCAAATACTACAGATATGTCGTACATTTTAACTCATTCACTCGCGTAGTCCATTTACTTCAGCCAGCATACACCCATCCATCTCCTGTATTGTGGTTTGATGAGCGGGACTACAAAGATCATTATCTTATCTCATACATAAATGTCGTTATCTGATTGGCTGAGCTCTCTCCTAATGTTTTCAATGTACCTGCTTACAAGCGAATAACATTTTCATTTCATACTTTGTGTTAGTAAGTTTTTATCTCGAACAATTGGGCCACGTATGATGTACGGAAATTACCGATGTTTTGCGAATGTAAATCGATGGAAGGGAGGTAACTGTAATTTGTAATGGTTTGATGAACACAAAGATCAATGTTGATATGGTGGATGCATTCATTCATTCAGGTTGGGAAACGTAACCGATGTGGGTACATTAACTTCACACATCCACCGGATAACATTGATACATGATGTCTTGTTAAGTCCAGTTTATGTCCTTGTATATATCCAGTAATACACAAATAAAAGCACATATGGACATGTATTGAGGATTGGTTACAAGATATACTATTGGCTACACAACATATACTCATGACTATTTATTGAAAGGTAAAGATCCTCCATCCTGTATCACTTGTTATGAAAGAATTACGGTCAAGCAGTTCTGATGTGGGTTTTTTTTGTTTTGTAAATGTGTGGTAAAGAGTTAAATGTTTTGGGGGTTTTTATAATTGGTAGTTAAAATTAACAACTATGATTTTCGGCGCTGTATTCTGGAATTGGATAAAGTATTGTAAAACCATTGTCCCCCTGAAGGGTGCGTAAGTCTTGGTACATTGAAAGGGGTGTGGTGGGCGAGCTGTGTAAGGCGCCAGGCTAGTGATCCAGCGAGTTGTATGCTCCCCAGTTTCAAGTTTGATATTACAATGTGCCGTTTGAGATTGACATCCAATGATCGAAGAAAAACACAGAGCCTTTGAGCAACTGAGCTGAGCTGAATATTGGCGCTATACAAGTATATATAAGTAAATAAAATAATATAGTTAGATCTAACACTTTCTTTTATCGTAGAATAAAGGTTATGTGACAGTGTCATATTTCTATATTTTATTTATTTGTTTGTGTAAATACGTGTATCCCACGCGTCAATACGTCTGTATCACATATATGTATCCTACACGTCAATATATCTGTATAACATGCATGTATCCCACACGTCAATATGTCAGTACCACACGAATGTATCCGTCACGTCAATATGTCAGTATTACATGTATGTATCCCACTCGTCAATATTTCTGTATCACATATTTGTATCCCACGACCAATTATGAATGTATCACATTTATGTAGCCCAAACGTCAATATGTCTGCATCACATGTATTTATCCCACACATCAATATATCTGTATCACATGTATGTATCCTACACATCAATATGTCAGTATCACATGCATGTATCCCACACGTCAATATGTCTGTATCACATGTATGTATCCCACACGTCAATATGTCTGTATCACATGTATGTATCCCACACATCAATATGTCAGTATCGCATGTAATTGTCCCAAACGTCAATATGTCATTATCACATGTATGTATCCCTTACGTCAATATGTCTGTGTCACATATTTGTATCCCACACCCCAATATGAATGTATCACATTTATGTAGCCCAAACGTCAATATGTCTTCATCACATGTATGTATCCTACGCATCATTATGTCAGTTTCACATGCATGTATCCCACATATCAATATATCTGTATCACATGTATGTATCACACACCCCAATGTGAATGTATCACATTTATGTAGCCCAAACGTCAATATGTCTGTATCACATGTATGTATCCCACACGTCAATATGTCAGTATCACATGTATGTATCCCGCACATGAATATGTCTGTATCACATGTCTGTATCCCACACATGAATATGTCTGTATCACATGTCTGTATCCCACGCTCCAATATGTCTGAATCACATTTACCTATCCAACGCGTCAAGATGTCGGTGTCACATGTATGTAGCCCACGCATCAATATGTCTGTATCACATCTATGTATCCCACACGTCAATATGTCTGTATCACATGTATGTATCCCACACGTCAATATGTCTGTATCACATGTATGTATCCACACGTCAATATGTCTGTATCACATGTATGTATCCCACACGTCAATATGTCTGTATCACATGTATGTATCCCACACGTCAATATGTCTGTATCACATGTATGTATCCCACACGTCAATATGTCAGTATCACCTGTTTGTATCCCACACGTCAATATGTCTGTATCGCATGTATGTATCCCACACTTCAATATGTCTGTATCACCTGTATGTATCCAACACGTCAATATGTCTGTATCACGTGTATGTCGGGGAGAATATGCACCCCTTCACATGACACAGCTGTTATGTGTGTCCACCATGTGACACAAGAACGTCCAGCACGTCTCGTTGCCTCCGGGCTTTCGCTCTCATGGCTGCTGACTCTCCCTTTCTGTTCTTGGCGTCGATGTTCACAACACCCAGTGACAGGATATATTTCACTACCTCCACATGTGAAACGGCTAACAGAAGAATGTTGTTACCCTCTCTGTCTGCGAGTGACAGTTGAGCTCCATGATTCACGAGAAACTCCACTACGTCCTTATGTCCATTTTGTCCTGCAAACATCATTGGTGTCTTGTTTTCTAATCCTTCACTGTCGATGTCCACACTGTGCAGTGAGACGATGTACATTACCACCGCCAGATGTCCCTTATCAGAGGCACAGTGAAGAATGTTCATTTTGTGGCTATCTTTGAGTGATAGTTTAGCTCCATGTTTTACGAATAATTCTACCAAATCTTTATATCCATTCTCTCCTGCTACAAGCACTGGTGGCCTATTCCGCCACCCCCTTTGGTTAATGTTCACCTTGTGCTGTGATAAAACATATTTCCCGACATCCACAGATCCCCCCCAGTAAGAGATCAAGTGAAGGATAATGTTAGTGTCGCTGTCTCTGTGAGCCAGATCAGCGCCATGATTCACGAGAAACTCCACCACGTCCTTATGTCCACTTTGTCCTGCAAACATCATTGGTGTCTTGTTTTCAAATCCTTCACTGTCGATGTCCACACTGTGCAGTGAGACGATGTACATTACCACCGCCAGATGTCCCTTATCAGAGGCACAGTGAAGAATGTTCATTTTGCGTCTATCTTTGAGTGATAGTTTAGCTCCATGTTTTACGAATAATTCTACCAAATCTTTATATCCATTCTCTCCTGCTACAAGCACTGGTGGCCTATTCCGCCACCCCCTTTGGTTAATGTTCACCTTGTGCTGTGATAAAACATATTTCCCGACATCCACAGATCCCCCCCAGTAAGAGATCAAGTGAAGGATAATGTTAGTGTCGCTGTCTCTGAGAGCCAGATCAGCGCCATGATTCACGAGAAACTCAACCACTTCTTTATGTCCCCCCTCTCCTGCTTTCATCACTGGTGTCTTTCTTTCAAATCCTCTACTGTCGATGTACACCCTGTGCAGTGAGATGATGTACTTCACCACATCCACGTGTCCTTTAAAACAGGCCAGGTGAAGGATGTTATCACCGACTTTGTCTCTGAGTGATAGATTAGCTCCATGCTTTACGAGGACCTCCACCACTTCCTTATGTCCATACTGTCCTGCTAGCATCACTGGCGTCTTCTTCTCATGTCCTAGACTGTTGATGTCCACCATGTTCTGTGAGAGGATATACTGCACCACCTCCACATCTCCACCACGACAGGCACAGTGAAGGATGTTGTCACCTGTTTCATCCACAAGTGACACGTCAGCTCCTGTATCAACAAGCAACTCCACCACATCTTTATGTCCGTTCTCTGCTGCCAGCATCATAGCTGTTCTCCCGCACTGTACTCCACCATTAATGTCCAACATGGTCTGTGAGAGGACATACTTCACCATCTCTAAATCTCCTCCATGACAGGCTGAGTGAATGATGTTGAATCCGAAACTATCGACAAGTGACAGTTTAGCACCTTTACCCACAAGTAATTCCATCACTTTTGTATGTCCCCCACCGGCTGCCAACATCACCGGTGTTCTACCAATCCATTCTTGACAATTAACGTCCGCCCGTCCCTGTGACAATAGGAATTTCACTCTTGACAGGTCCCCAGTCTTTGAGGCGGTATGAAGGTCACACAGTGGTGGAGCTGTAACACAAAGTTAAACTCTGTAGAAATCTTTCGTGATAATTTGAAAGAGACAAGTTCAAAGGTGCAGACATCATATTATATCCAGAAACCGAGATATTTGCTTTTGTGAGATCAGAGATTGCTCCTGGCCCGAAAGGATGAATCTTTCATCACGATGGCACATCGTTTATGTGATAATTATGATGATTAAACCAAACTGAGAAATTCCGACTTGACAGCTGAAGTAAACAAACACATCGGCCACAAGCTGTTGAAATGGTGCCTAATTTGCAATATCAGCGGTTGGGTACATCAAGTTATTCAGTGCACTCTACTATTTGTTAGTGAACTCCCATTGTTTGAGCTGTATTGTTCTGTAATAATTCATGACAAAGGTAATTGCAAAGCGACTGTATTTCAGAGCGACACATTTTATGAACCACCACGTGAATATAATAAAGCTTGACCGAGCTGACCATAGAAGGCCATGTAATGTCATACAGCCATCGAAGAAATAAGTTTATGATAAATATTCGCGAAAGCATAGATTTTGAACAGAGTGAGTGAGTGAGTGAAGATTTAAAGTCACATCGACAGTATTTCAGCCATATCCTGACTAAATCCACTTACAGATTTATAGTAACTGAAACAGGAGCGGATACAGCTTTTTGAGAAAGGACAGGTGCACCAGTTCATTTTTACCTGAGACCAAATGGATCCGCCTATGATTTAATATAATTTCAGGACAAAAGGATGGGGAAGGGGGGCACTCCTACACACACCCTCCGGAAACTAAAGTGAACTTTAAAAACCTGTCAATGAAGGACAGTAAAAGAAATAGATTATCACAAATGTAAATTTAAATCTAGTAGTTAGATCTAACACATTTTACCTATAGATGGCAATACAATATCACAACAGGCTATAGACTGCCAACAACTGAAGGTAGATCACCATACTAGAGACCATGGGGACATACAGAACATTTACTCCCTGCATGGACGCTAACTGGATTTACACCATCCCTATAGCTATTAGCAAATTTAGATAATCTAGCCACAAATTAAAAGAACATATATACTACGATTTAAATTATACTAGGTTTAAATTTACGTTGAATGCTTTGGGACTTACGTACCCTCTCAGGAGGAGAATACAACATCCCTTCGATGTTAGCAAGTTTTGACAATCTAGCCATAAATCAATATAACATATATGCTGCTGTTAAAAATAGAGGTATGTACAAATGTACTTGTTTTGGTACTCACGTACCCTCTAAGGAGCACAATAACTTTACAATACTTTAATTACCCTCCAGGATACACTCATTCATTCGCTCACTCAGTTACCAATTTCCAGTCATAAAACATACATATATTTACACGATATAATAATCTTGTTTTTGCAATTAGTTCAAATCCTTTTACCAAATTCATTAATTAATTGATAATTAACATTGCTAAAAAGACCCTTAAGTGTTTTTTGCACTGAAATATGTATCCCTTGTGATAGAAAATCAATACAGTCAAGCAGGACATGCTTGACCGTGATTCTTTCATCACAAGAGATGCAAAACGGAGGATCCTCACCTTTTAACAGGTATTCATGGGTATATCTTGTGTGACCAATATGACATCGTCGCATGATGACCTCTTCAAATCTGAACTGACAACCCAAGTAGGTATAACTAATATAAGGCTTTATTTCATATAATTTATTAATTATTAATTATTTATTAATACCTACTTGAGTGTCCAACTTCTTTTGCAGCAGATCACGGATGTAGGTTCTAATGCTAGCTTTGAAATCAGAGTATGGAATACGAAGTGGTGTCACAGATTTATTGAGTACTGCCTGGGCAGCAAGATCAGCCATTGTATTCCCACATGCTTGACCGTGACTCTTTCATCACAAGGGATTCAAAACCTTTTAATAAGTATTGGTTTATACCGTGTATGGCCAATGCGACATCGTCGCATGACGACCTCTTCAAGCCTAACTGACAACCCAAGTAGGTGTAACCGATGGTTGGTTTAATTTGATGAAATTTATTGATACCTACTTGGGTGTCCCACTTCTGTTGCATCAGATCACGGATGTACGATCTAATGATAGCCTTTCTATTCAGAGTATGGAATGAGAAGTGGTGTCACTGATTTATTGAGTGCTGCCTTATCAGCAAAATCGGCCATTGTGTTACAAGAAATCAACAGGACGATGTCGTATTGGCCATTATATAATTCAAAAATTTCTATTAAAAGTGGATGTTTACAAGATAGATTTTTGATAGCCTGAAGGCACGAACGGGAGCCTGAAAATATATTATGTTTATATTTGGGGTGGTTTTTAAAAACAATAAATATTTTAAGGCTGTAATCGAATAGTTTTAGGTTCTTTTGTAGGCTCCACCATCCACAATCAAGTTTAGAGCGGACCAATGATCGATATAGGTGTAGGAGGGTAGCTTGATCCCCTCCCCACTTGGAATTAGAATCGACTTTCAAAAAGTCATGTGCCTTCAGGCATTTATTTTAATTTTTAGGTATTTGATATACAGAAGAAAAATTAAATGAGAGTCGAAATTCAGACTAAGAACTTGGCCTCGGCCTCCTTGACAACTTTGATGGGAGTGCCATTGGAAAATAGTTCGGGATCTTTATGCGGTTTATATTTACGGCAGAAATGTATACAATTTGTTTTTGATAAATTTTAAAGCCTTTTCCAAGACACCACTTATTTAATTGTTTAAACACAACTATAGGTGTCGTTCAATGGTATATATATTTTTCCCCGCGACAAGTAATATTAAATTTATCCACAAAAAGTGACCCATGGATTGAATGAATTAAAACCGCGGATGCACGATTGATCTTAATACTAAACAATGTTACAGACAAAATACTGCCTTGCGGGACACCTTGATCCTGATTATAATGGTCAGACAGGGTTGAACCCACTCGGACTTGAAATCGTCTGTCTGTCAAAAACTGTGATATAAAAAGAGGTAAACGACCCCTCAAACCAAAGTAATTGTTAATCCTTTAAAATGCCATGCTTCCAGGTGGTATCGTATGCTTTCTCGTGATCACAGAATATCGATACTGCATTTTGTTTATACACCATAGTATTTTCAACAAGATGATGAATGGTACTTCGATTTTTTTTACTGAAACTACATTGAATATTTGTTGTAAGGTTATTGTTTTCAAGATACCCTATTATTATGCCACGAAGTTTGGAATTCCCGGAAATCCATATTTGATCAAAATTCTACAGGGATTTCTAAACATGATTTTAGCAAATGCTTCAAGAGCTAATAGTGTATATTATCAACCCCTGTGGCTGTATCGTGAGCTTGCTCAAGGGCGGTATGAAGCTCATGTAACGAAAATAATTCGTTCTAGTCTTCACCAAATGCGCGTTGAGCCCTGGCTTTCCTTTTAAATTTTAACTTTCACATCCATTCAAATTCATTACATAAGGTTGAATCAGTGAGTGATAGATCCAGAGAAGAATATGTTCCCGTGGCTGGATATAGATAATTGACTGAATCATCATTGAAAATACATCAATTATTATCGGAAATGAATTCCTCAAGGATTTTACCTTTAGTGTTAGTATGGACACTTCCCCAAAGCGGGTTCAGATCGCCCATGATTATACATGGCTTCGGAAGTTGTTCATATAGATTCTTTTAATCCGACAGTGGAATATAAGAAGACGGATGGATATACAAGCTGCACAGAGACAGAGCAATGTGTGTGTACAGGGAGATACGAACAGCAACAGTTTTAATATCGGTATTACCAGGGACAGGGATATGTATTATACCCTGTCGTACCAACATGGAGGCACCTCCTGTTGCTTTATCTCCTGGAGGAGAAAAGAGTGATAATCACTGTACTGTCTCAGATTAGAGTTATCTGTATTTTAGACATGTCTCTTGTAGACAAAATGCTGGCGGTTTCAATCCTGTATTAATAACTGTATCCCTTTGAAGTTATCCTTCAGTCCTCTGCAACTCCACTGTATTAAAGTCGACAATTGAATCATGGTGGCTGAATTGATGATCGTTCACGGGAATGTGAGGAAGAACTTTTCCTCCGCCTGTCCTATGAGGACAGAGTACTGGATTTTTGTATTTAAGCCCTGGGCTTAATAGCGGAAAATGACCACTCTCGTTAACAAATATAAACCCCATAATTAGCCCAGGTAGGCTTGAATACAGGAAATCCCGGTAATCTACATATCTAGAGGTCCGAGTGCGTTCTGTTTTGGAACCTCTGAAGTTGAAGGGACAGTAGTTGGTTTGTCTTTTTTTAATTGTTTTCCATTCTTTGTTTTAGACAGGTTGCTGGCTGCTTTTGATAAAGACTTTTATGATGGCGTCTCGGGATTAGTTTCATCTGTCTGGGAACCAGACGAAGATCGAGTAACTGGGGTAGTTGGTTTTGGGGCTGAAGTTGAAGAAATAGGTTTAGCTGATGACTTGACCCAAGTCAAGTACAGGACATTTCTGCAGAGAGGGAGACTGCAGTGGAATATGCGACAGTCAACAGAGTTGAAGACTGATTTGTCAGTAAATGTTTGGCATCGAGGTAATAAATGTGTTTTCAGATACTATTTTCATGATTTGTGATTCCCTTTGCTACACAGGGCAGGCCTTGTGGACCGTCAGAGTTGGCACATTTGTAATCCTTCTGACAGTTGGTATTCTCATGGTGGTCACCACGCCAGTTTCGACAGGACTACGATCCATGACCTCTTCAACTATGTCCTCCTCTGACAACGACAATAGTTTAACGTTCTGTGACACAGCAACTTCAATATTGGCAAAAATCTTTACTGACATCAGATTGAATGATTACTGTCTGCGTGCACACTCCACAAGAAGCG